AGACTTAGGACAAGCAAAAATGATTCTTTGAATGGAAATAGAAAGAGATAGAAATAATTGCATGTTATTGTTGAAACAAGGCACATGTGTGAAGAAAATACTTGAAAAGTTTGCAATGTTTGAATGTAAACCTGTTACCTTACCCCTTGCTAATCATTTTAAACTGTCAAGTGAAAATTCACCTAAACAGATGATGAATTTATAAGAATGGAAAAGATTCCGTATTCTAATGCTGTAGGATTAATAATGTATCTTATAGTTTGTACCAGACCTGATTTAGCTCATGGCATTAGTACCTTGAGTAGGTTTATGTCAAATCCAGGTGAAACACACTGGTTAGTCATGAAGTGGATGCTGAGATACTTAAAAGGAAATTCTGATTTAGGTTTAATGTTTAAAAGAAGCAATGAAGGAGTAATGTTAAAAGGCTACACAGATTCTGACTTTATTGGTGATTTAGATAGAAGAAGATCAACATCTTCTTATGTTTTCACTTTGTGTGATGGTTGCATTAGTTGGAAATCACAACTGCAGAAATTAGTTGCACTTTCTTCTACAGAAGCTGAATATATTGCTGCATGTGATGCAGTAAAAGAAAGTCTTTGGCTTAGGGGTTTATTAAATGAAATGGGTTTTGGAAATAATACTGTTAAGATTTATACTGATAACCAAAGTGCCATACACCTGAGCAAAAATCTTGTATACCATGATAGGACTAAACATATAGATATAAAATTCCACTTTGTGAGAAACATGGTAGAAAAGGGTTTGATTGAATTGGTTAAAGTTCCTACAGAATTCAACCCATCAGATTTAGAAACCAAAGTGTTACCCCTGAATAAATTCAAAAATTGCTTGAAGATTTTGAATATTACATGAAGGTGTAACATTGAAAACTTCAAGTGTTTATGATAAAATTTTCGAACTAATTTTTTCTTTGTTTTTGCAGGTACTGAGAGCAAATGAACCAAAATGTGAGATGAAACTTGAGATTCACTAATTAAAATCAAGAAATAGTTCAGCAATGTGGAGGTTGTTAGTAATAATGGGCTGCTTCACTATTACTTGATGGCCCAAAACAAAGAAAATCCACTCAATGGACTTGGACCATTCTCATTTTCGGGTTGATAAAAACGTGCCTTTGTGAAATGCGATTTTATGCCTCTTGTGGGAGGGGATCTGCCGTCAACGTGGCATCATCCCAACCCTTGGATGTGGTAGTTGACTGATCAGGTATTTATCATGTTTTGGCTCTCATTCTGGACTCTTTGCTTCATTCAGTCCTTTCGTCTCTTCCATTTTCTCTGAGTGAGAGACTAGGGTTTCGTTTTTACTCTGAATACTGAAAATGTTTTTCGTGATCTTCTCAATCTGTATAATTTGTGATATTTTAGATTGTTGTGTACGATCTATGAGTGATTGAGAGTCTTGTAGTTAGGTTTTAAAGGAGGCGAAAGGAATATCGAAGGAACTTGGTTCCTTCATACATCTGTACTAATTCTTGGTGCTTTTCTTAGGGAAATCTTGAGCTATATCTCCCTTGGGGATGCTTAACGGGTGATTAGGCGAAAGCTGAACATCCAGGCTCTCTTTTGAGGGCAAAACCATATCGTTGTGTTTCGATTTCTTTTCTGAAACTTTATTTCTTTTTTGAATATCTCACAATCCAACAAACACTTAGGGTGTTTTGACGTAACAGGGATAATAGTCCCCATACTCCCTTCTCGTCCTCCCTTTCTCGAATCAAATGTGAGCTAAGTTCTCTCATACTAGATCAAATTTTCTACCAGACTTAAAAATGCAGGGAACCTAATTCCTTATAAATCGAGATCAAGCAACTGAGCTGCTCCATCATAAAAAACAGTTTCTCTCCCCTTCTGGAGCCATCTGATCAACTCATTTGTTACCCTGTCTTCAGATGTTCTGAACTTTCATGTCGAAGGCATTGCTAGCAATCTTCCAACATCTTCTTTGATATGTATATCTCGATGTCAACAAGAACCCACATCCTTGATAAGTTTCTCCGTTAGTTCGAAGTGACTTTTAGTCTCCAAGAGTGGGATTCTCATTTCATTGGCTTGCTTTTTGCCAAATCCTTTAGCCAAAGAGAGACATTTGATAGCCGACTGCTTTGAAGCACAAACAAACTGACTTTATTTGTCACCAACATTTGCTGGACATGTCCGAGATGAACTCGCAGCGAATAATGTTGGCAAGTTTCATGAAAAAGGGAAAGAAAATCTATCACTGGGGCAAAGAAATTCTTCCAAAAATAGTATAAACAATTGATAGTTTTCAGCAAAACAAATTAGAACAAACCATGACGAATCCAACAAAATAGTCACTGTCGTGAATCTCTTCTTTGTTGGTGATATCAGAAGGTAATTAATGACAGGGAGATAGGAGAGATGTCTGCGCAAGAGAGATAGACAACTTGCGGAGAAGGGGAGGGAGAGTACATGGGGCTGCACTAGAGAGGAGGGACAGGGTGGACACATAAAGAGAGGAAAAGGGGAGAGATGGGAAATGGAGAAGGAAGCTTTGGTAGAATGCGTGCACGTGAAGTAGTTGGAGATTGGAGAAGTGAAATTTTTCGTTAGCAACCATGGTATGTATTAATTGGAATTTTTTGGGAGAAATTTGTCATTAAGTTCATAACAATGAGAGAGTGGCCGAAAGGGGAAAAGTTTGTTTTTATGAGTATTATATTTGTTGACCTATTCAGGTTAAAAGCTGGTGGAACACAATAGAAACACAATGACAACCAGCATCAAACAAGGTTGAATTCAGGAGAGAAAACTATGAAAACGAAACTCAACCCTAATTATGAAATAGAAACAGCGCTAAACAATGTCCCTACTCAATTTAAAAGATAATAGAGTTCTAAGAATAATAGAGTTTTAATTTAATGAATTAAGTAAAATAAAACACCACTAAAATAAAATAAAACATTAGCAAATTGAATTCCATCAGGCTTCCTTCTGGTCTCCTGGTGGGAGTGCAGCCCATTAAAAATGAGCATCACACTTATTCTATTGGAAAACTAAAAAATTGTTTAAAGATTAAATAATTTTAAGTGATATGTCACTGTCCTACTTTTAAAACTTCTGCATTTATGTCTGTTCTTGATAGGCTGAGCCTGACAATTCAACCACGTATGTAGGGATGTCAAATGGGTCGAACTGCTTGTGGACGGCTCGGGCTAGCCATTTGACGTGGACGGCTCGGGCTAGTCATTTGACGAGCCCGAGCCGAGCAGGGGGTTCAATCCCATGAGCAAAGCCTGCTCGGCTCGTCGAGCCCACGAGCCATTTTGACGAGTCCACGAGCTCGTCAAAAATATGAAATTTTTTTTAAAAAAAAGGTCCAAAAATGTGCAAGTTTACAACCAAAAAAAAAATCACGAGCTCATGGGCCACTCGTCTTTCACGAGCCACAAGCTCGGCTTGGGTGGGCCGCTCGTCTTTCACGAGCCACGAGCCCGAGCCGGGCTCGTGAGTTAAAGGGCCGAGTCGAGCCGGCTCGACCCATTGCCATCCCTACACGTATGTGACGCACTCCGAATCTATCAAAGAAACCTTGAGACGAAAGCGGACAAATTGTGACAATCCCCTATCTTCTTCTCAATGTAAGCTCATCCGCCACACCCATTTTCAATTTTTCAAAACTGAGTGAATGGTGGCAACTTAATATGAAAATAGGCATAGGACTCTTTTTGTTGACCAAAGAGATTGAGCCTAGATGAAAAATAAGAAAAGGCCCGAGAAAATTTGAAGTGATGCATATTTCATGAGAGAGTCAAGTGGCACTTTAACGGAGATTTAGCGCTATGTGCAACTATAATGACTGGTTAAGCATCAACTTGCTCTGGGAGATCAAATTGCTACTTCGGCAGTTGGTTGGGAAAACTAATGGTTTAATGTTGCAGATTAAAATTTCTCATATTGTCAGCTCGATTATAAGACTAATTTTAAATATGCATAGTTTTATTTTTGAGTTGTTATTCTTTCGGTTAATATTTTACCATTATTTTTGTTTTCCTCATGGTCAGGGGGAAGCCGCATTGGTAGTTGTGACAGAACATTTTTGCCCGTCTCTTAAATGAAGAAAGAACTTTAAAGTGGTGCTGAATATTCATGGAATTACACCTTAATGTAAATTATAATAGCCTTAAACAGGCAGATAATATTTATTTTATCAAAATAAAGTTCTCACTGGCTGATAAAAAGTAATAATGGTTTTCTGATACTTCCACAAATGCCCTCTGATCATCTGATGTCACTTAAACTAGTTCAACGGATACTGTTAGCACGAATTGTTACTTCCATTTTCAGTTTGTTTGATTCTGTGAGTTATTCTTTAATTTTTGTTCCCGTTTGCCTTTTGGATTTGCACAAGACAGTCAATGATCTGTTTTCGCACATTGTGCACAAGTACTGTTTCAATTTATTAGTTATAAGTTTTCACTGCTTAAATAATTATATAATACATACTGTTAAACTACACCAGAATGGAGAACTCGAACCTTTGCCATCTGATGCCGTTGCCAAGAAGACACAGAGTTAGGCCAAGTTCAATATCCTTGAAGGGATCCCCGGCTCTCACTCCGATGATTTTTGTGACAAGACTAGTAGATTTGTAAGTATTTACTAAATTTTCCAAGGTAAATGGTATCTGGATATGGTTTTACTTTTATTACAACGATGAATGCATTCCGCAAGTATTGAAGACTGCTTAATCATATTTCTTCGAGGAATCTCAATTGTCTCAAATTCATGAGAAGCATGGTGAAATTGAAGACTTCTAGCATTTGCCTGCCCCCCGTTTTTTCATAGTTTTATAAAAAGCCAAGCACGTTCCTTGGATTCAGTCACTGGTGGAGAGTGCAACTAAAGCCAAGTTGGTTCCTATTTTGGAACATGTAGATATGATATGGGATTTGCTTATCAATGTCTTTTTACATGCTGAGAAAGTGTTACCTTTTATAAATTAAATATTAGTGAGAATTAAAGGATTGAAGCATGATATATACCCATATTCATACACAAGCAAGCAAGGTGTTGTATTAAATATTAAACAGGAGAGGAATTCTACATTTTATGACATGGGATGGGATTGCCCTCATTCGACTTCCTGGATTTCATCCAATGCATAGTTGTTTGTAGATACATTTGCATAATTCACTTTGTTGAACCGCACGACGACTGGGTACCGAGTCTTGGGGTCCTGCATATATATATCATCAAACATTTCTGAATATCGAAGTTCGGAAAAATAACATCAATGGCGTATTTTGTCACACAATTCACCATTGGTCATGTCAATGGTTCTGTTTGTTACTTGAATGCCAATGTGTGTATAAAAATTACAAAAACATATATTCACCTGGTCAACTGCAACAACTGAGCCAACTCCCTTGTACCAGTAGGACTCCTTCCTCAGAATTCTCACCTGAGATGCGGATGCCAACAATATCAACTCAATACTCCATCCTCTGTAGTAAACTATGCAATTCACTTTCTTGTTTGGTCCCCTTTTTTCAAAATCCTTTTTTTTTTAATTAAAACTTATTTTCAACCAAACATTTCCTGGCATAGACGATATTTCAAATACACATTTCGTCAACTTTCATTAAAATCTACCTTTTTTTCCTTTAATCAAAATCAAATAGGGGATCGATCTTGATCGGCACATTGAATCGAACTAATGAGATAGTATAACTAACGAATTCGTTACGTATTTCGTTTTTTAATCTATTCAAAAAAAGAAAAAAGAACATGTACGTAAATACAAAGGAAGTTGTCACTCACCTTGGTGCCCCTCTTGGGGCCAATCGGAGGTGGCTTGGCCGCTTTTGCAGGCGGGGCTTCACCTTCGGCCGCAGGCGTTGCAGTGGTGGCCGCCGGTGCTTTCGCCTCTTCTGCAGCCTTCACAACCAGCCTTGAATTGCTGTTGTTCTTGGAAGAAAAGAATAGTATACCACTTTTGGGTGCACTTACTGAATTGGCTGTGAAATTTGGTGCCACCACAAATCCAGGAGTTGCCAAGCTGCTTGTTGCCATATTATCCCCTCTCTCTCAATTCTATGCTGCGAAAAAGGAACGAATTTTGAGTTTATTAATGAAGAATGCAATACTTCAAATATGTTTAGGATATCTTTTTACTGGACAATGATCGATCTAAGAAAAGCATGTTATCTCTCCAACCACTAGGAAGCTGCCATCTGACACCGTATCCCACTGTTTAGGATAATGTCATCTACTTATTTATTATTTCTTATATTTCTTTAGAAAGTTATGACTACGTGTCATTTCTCCAGTTCTTTGTTAGGCTACAGTCGATTTTGATCTAAAAAATGTAAATGTGGAAATTGGCCAAATAGTCCCTTTCATAATACATTTTGCTATTTTAGCCTTTGACCAGAGTAAAAATTTTAAAATAATTATAGTAAATTAAATTTAATAAACTACCTAAATTATCCTTATTCAACACTACAGAATTTCCTCTTCCATTCCAAAATCGCAAACCCTAGATTGGCATCCAGTTCTTCTCTCTCGAACAAGGGAGACACAACTGATTCTTCCCCTTCGAATCCCCAACGCGAAATCAATATATTCAGCCCCATCTCTTCTTGTCTTCTTCCTTCACGGATTACGGAGTTCATACACTATAGCAAATCGTTATCGCCATTGTCGCGAGTCGGAGTTGTCACTGTATAAGAGTTATTCACCAACTGGAACCAATATCTGTAGGTATGAAATTTCTAACGATATTTAGAGTTATTGTCCCATAATTGCATAGGAAAACCATGGTATATAGTTTTTTAGAATATAATGAGTGCCGAGCAAAATCTTGATGTACTGCATTTATCATGCTTTATAATGTGCTGTGTACAGCTCTAGATGATTCTGCCTGGAAGTGTTGTTGATTTGAGTGCTCTTAGTGTAATTGAGTCAAATGAAAGTTGTGAAGCTTGGAAGAAAAATCGATTTTTTATTTTTTTTTTCTCGATTTTTGGCAAAAACAAACAGTGCTGCTGTTATTTTTATCAGAATCTGACTTACAAATCTATTATAATTGATCAAAATATATCACAATGTAAAGATTAAATAAATGATTAACATTCATTTGTCCGTAACAAATGCGAATGAACAAAAATGAACACGAAATGAGTAGACATGGTACCCATACATTTAAAATGACCTGATGCCGTTTTGGTCTGAACAAACTGTGATGCTGTCATATTTACCAAAAATCTGTCTGAAGTAGCTATCATACTTTGTCAGACAACTATCACAATATATCAAAAATCATCATAATCTATTATAATTTCAAGATTAAGTTAAACAAAAAATGTTTTATGCATTTGTCAGCTAGTGTAGAGCAGTTTTGCAAGTCAGACGATTATGGCCCTCTGGCCACTCCTACTACATTTACGAGTCTTTTTTCCCTCTCCTCTTGATGGAATTCGACGATTTTTTGGACGTCCACTTTGTCGTCGATTCGAAAGGGGTGGTAACATCTTTGGCTGATTGGAGATTTCCCAGTCAACCTCATTTGCCACTGGATATATACATTCAGCATATACTTGTTTCCAACTAGCACTGGTATAATAAGGTGAGCAAAACTGTAACAAGATATTCCCTTAAATTTCACTGCTGAAGTGCATGTTTGCAAGGAAGCTTTTCCAAATCAAATTCCCTAAAACTACAGGTTCTTGCCTCCAAGTTCACGATATGCATTTCATTCTCAACACCGACGTGCAACTCATACTCATTTACTGGTACCACTATCAGTCCCTTTGCATCATTATACTTTTTACGCATTTTATCCTCAATGGGCAGGGTTAGAGTAGTTGCACATTTTTCTGCCTCAATGTGTCTCTCATAAAATTAATTTTGTAAAGTTTTTCTTATTTGCTCAACCATAGCAAGTACCGGAAATTCCCGAGCATTCTTGAATAATGAGTTCAAAGATTCTGCATTGTTAGTTATCATAATATTGTAACGGATTCCTTTGAAATGTGCTCGGGGACCAAAATTCATACCCAACTTTCTTTTCTAGGTATTGTCCAACTGCCGACTTTTACGATATAGATTTGTCATTGATTTTTCAAAATTAATCAAACTATACTCCTTTGCAGTTGCCATAAACAATGGTAGAATATCGGCCTTATGATAATTTGACTTTATGTTTAGTTGTAGATGCTACATGCAACATCCATGATGTGCATAAGGATAAACAATTTTTATAGCGTTACCAATGCTATCCTTGCGATCAGAAATGAAAACAAGCCTTTCCAACAAACCTGTTACCTGAAACAACTTATCGAAGAACCAAGTTCATGATGCATCATTTTCAGAATCAACAATGCCAAATGCAAGAGGATATATCTGAAGATTTGCATCTTGACACGTGGCAACAACCTACCTTGAAATTTTGATTTCATAAATGTTCCGTCCACAGAAATGACATGTCTCATTGATGAGTGAAAACGACTTATGCTTGGTCCTAAAGCCATAAAAAAGTATTTGAATCGGTTCTCATTATCAACCTCAATGAATGTCACTGTACCGGGATTATTCTTCTTCAGAATATTGCAATACTTGGCCAATCTATCATAACTAAGATCAGGTGAACATCCTAATAGCTCTATAGCACATTCTCTAGTCATCCATGCCTTATAATAATTTATATCTATGCCAAACTCCCGACGAATATCATTTTGAATGTTCGAAGGTCTGTATATAATATTGGGATCCTCAAACTTTGACATGATGTGTTTTCCTATCATCCAACAACTAGCTTGTCTATGATCTTTGTGGCAAACATCCAATGAACAATTATGATAACGTGAATACTTTTGAATTTCAAATTCGTCACTTTCCTTCAATCGTGTTGTCCGCAAACGCCATTTGCAAATTTTCTCAACCCAAACTACTACATATGTACTCTTATTTGATTTAATGACCTTAAATTCGAAAGAGTTTCTTACAGCAAGCATTTGTAGTGATGCCTAAAGATCCTTCTTGTTGCGAAAAATTTGGTTAACGTGCACATCATCGACGTCAGGAATCTTAACTAATGTTCCACAAGGATTCGGACAGGCAACAACTTGGGAAATGCCAATGATCTCATCTACCAATGTAAAAGGTGTATTATGAGTAACATTGTCTTCATTTATCACATGAGAATCATCTATGTAGTTGCCATGTACTACTTCTAACCCATCCCAATAATCATCACTTGTAAAGTTCACACAATCGTTTTCACAATTTTGATTACATGGAGACAAGGTCGCATATAATTGTCATCGGACTGATCATTTTGCATATACAATTCATCCATATCCACCGCATTGTTAGTTGCAACAACATTTGAATTGTATTCATGATTCTCCTGAACATTTACAATATCAACATCCATGTCTTGTTGATCGACATAACACTTTTCTACAAGGGTCACACAAATTGGAACTTTGTCATGCAAAGAAAGAAACCAACTAACATCCATATCGCAAGTAATCTTCATTGGCAGAACTGATAATTTTGACATGTCGAGAACGAGAAATTTCATCTCGATGTCATACACGTTGGGATCAACCTTAACTGCTTTTCGGATTTCGTTATACAACTTTGCATATGAGATTGTTTTTGATACAAAAATATTTGTTGCGGTGTCTTCATCATTCCCTATCCATTTCCAACTCCATCCACCTTCATCACTCTTTTCAAATTTAAGAAAATAACAAATAACAATCATTGCATAAGAGTCTATATCTGCAATTCAACAAAAAAAATATAATATATTACTACATTAATTGTCAAAACTGAATACTATAAATCACAGCTTCAATAACAAACAAAATGCTACTCATATTGTTACATAACTGATTTAAACAAAACAAAACGGCATTCCGTAGTTTAAAATGGGTATATGCCGTTTAAATTTATTTATGATAATAAAATGCTATAAAAAAATGGAGAAACAACTAATTTACCAACAAGTATATCAATACCTTCATTGTCTTATTAAAATGGCAGCCAGCTGGGAAAAAGGGCACCCAACTACTGAGAAACGACACCATTCCGTTTCAATATTTTACAGCAAATTTTAATTACCCAATTGATTTTTCTCATAGTATACAACTAAAAAATAACAACAAATCGATAATTTTCAATTTATAAAGCTCACCTTCAACTGTGTGAAATCGATTCTTGCTAACCCACCTATAAAATTTGCACTTTGTCATTTGTTCTTGGTTCAAAAAATGGAACTTCAACATGCAATCATTCATTGTGAGCAAGAATAATACATATGAAGAAGAATAAAGCTGAATTTAAAGATGAGTTTAATATGGTGAAAATGGACTTGGAAACAAGAGAAATGAAGGGGATTTAGCGATTTATATTTGGGGATTTGGGTAATATTCATTTCCAAATTGGACATTTTAGTCATTTCAGTTTAAGGGTATTTAAGACTTTTAATATATAATCAAATAGACTATGGATTACTTGAACAAAAAGTATTGATATAGGCTATTTTACCAAAGATTATGGTTGACTGGGTTTCTTAAACAAAAACCCCCCTAATATATTGACAATTAAAAGAATTATTTTTGAACTTATTATTTGAATTAAAATTTGACTTGTATTATGCCCAATACATAGATACATAGAAAATAAAGTTACAGTTATGAGGGAAATTTGCACTTTTCTGGTCCAATTTTTATGATTCGTTATTAGTCCATGATCAACCTTTTATTAACATCAAACACCATCAACCTTTTGAAAAAGTAGCAAAACTCGTTCTTCTAGCCATTTTGTTGTTAAAGCCACGTAAATCACAAAATTTCTCCACTCTTCACACAAACACAAAAACAAAGAAGCAACTAAATAGAAAATGAAGGGTCAAAGTAAAGTATGATCATCCACCAATTCGATGAACGGAAATGAAATTTAAGGGGTGTTTGAGAAGCATTTTTTTTCTAGAAATAGAAGAATTCCTACCGTTGCTTGTCAAATCCAACCCACAATTGTTGATTTCATGTGTGTTGTGTAGGGCCCACAACGGCACAATTTCACATTCTCATTTTGTCAAGAATATGACCCAAATAGGGGCTTAGAATTACGACGTATCAACCACCTAGACTCGAGCATCAAAGAAGAATAATGAGATTTTATACCTGGCCAGATAAAGACGCAAAAATGCCTATGTTTACTTGTGTTTGTCAATTGAA